GCATATCCCCTGGTCTGCAAGGCCAGGTTTGTATGCAAATAAGTAGTTGGCAAAGTTTGCCATTAGAGTTAACAACAAGCCCCAAAGTTGAAAGTTTAGCGTTTCTGTTCCAGTCGCCATCACCTAGTTGGGCCCTGGGTGAATGGGAGAGTACAGGAGTCTGGTTTTTCCACCTGCATATGCTGGAGGGCCCCTGGGCACAGGGTGGGGGATGATCCTATGCTGCTGAGACATCAGAAGCAAGTCCTCAGACCCTGCTTAGGAGCTGACCAGTTAGGCTAGACACACCCACACACCTAGAGCATCACACTAACACAAGCAATGTTGTCACCCAGTGTCTGAGCCCACTGGGGTGCTTGAAGGGGAGGAAAGTACTCATGGAAGGCTTCCTGGAAGAGAGATCATTCAAAGTAGATTTCAAAGGTGGCTAGGCCTTTGTTGTTGTTGTTGTTAAGTGCCATGGAGTCGATAGGCCTTAGGCATGTCAATTTGGTAGAGGAAGAGGAATACCACCTTCCAACTGGAGGGCCTATTGTGGAGCAACAAAAGCATACATCTGCCTAAAGCACGTACACAAATGTCATGAATGAACCTTGGAAACATTATTCTGAGTGGAAGAAAAACCCAAAAAACAGAGGATCACATGTTATATGATTCCGTTTATATAAAATATCCAAAATAGGCAAATCTAAAGACAGAAAAGTAGATTTGTGGTTGTCTAGGACTGAGAGGGGGGCAGGATAAGGGGTTTCTTTGTTGTTGTTGTTGTTAGGTGCCATCAAGTCAGTACGACTCATAGCAACCGTATGTACAACAGAACGAAACACTGCCGGATCCTGGGCCAACCTCACAATTGTTGCCACTCTTGAGCCCATTGATGCTGCCACTTTGCCAATCCATCTTGCTAGGGGTCTTCCTCTTTTTATATGACCCTCCACCCTGCCAAACATGATATCCTTCTCCAGCAACTGGTCCCTCCTGACAATAAGTCCTAAGTATGAGACACAAAGTTTGGCCATCCTGGCCCCCAAGGAGCACTCTGGCTGCACTTCATCCAACACAGATCTGCTTGTTCTTTTGGCAGCCCATGGTACGTTCAATATTCTCCAACACCATAACTCAAAAGCATCAGTTCTTCTATGATCTTCCTTATTCACTGTCCAGCTTTCACATCCATATGAGGTTATTGAAAATACCACGTCTTGGGTCAGGCACACCTTAGTCCTCAAGCTGACATCTTTGCTCTTCAACACTTCAAAAAGGTCTTGTGCAGCAGATTTGCCTAACGCAATATGACGTCTGATTTCTTGCCTGTTGCTTCCTTGAGTGTTGATAGGTAATCCAAGAAGAATGATGTCCTTGACAACTTCAGTCTTTTCTCCATTGATAAGAATGTTGTTGATTGGTCCAGTGGTGAGGATTTTTGTTTTCTTTATATGGAGATGTAATCCATACCAAAGGCTGTGGTCTTTGATCTTCCTCAGTAAATACTTAAGTCCTCTTCACTTTCATCAAGCAAGGTTGTATGATCTGCATATTGCAGGTTGTTAATGAGTCTTCCTCCAATCCTGATGCCACATTTTTCTTCATATAACCCAGTTTCTCGGATTATTTGCTCAGCATACAGTTTGAATAAGTATGGTGAAAGAATACAACCCTGTTGCACACCTCTCTTAATTTTAAACCACTGGAGGACAAAAATGTTCTTAGTTTGTGATGATAAAAAGCATTGAGTTGTACACTTTAATTTGGTGACTTGCATAGCATGTTAACCATATAACAGCAGTAAAGTTGTTTAGTGAAAAAAGCCACGAATACAGGCAAGCCCAACCCCGCATGCTGTGGGGTTTACCTGCAGGCAGTGGACATATAGGAGATCCTGGGCAGGAGAGGAGGAGCCAGGAGGAATCAGACCTCCAGACTGGAAGACAGACTAGGGACTAGATTCAGGAGCAAATTCCTGGTGCTGAATCTGCTTAGCAGTGAGGGGAGAGCATGGTTGGAGTGCAGTGGACATGGGTTTGAAACCTTCCTTAATATCCAAAGGGTCCTGGGCAGATCATGTAACCTTTCTGCTGAAGGGGAAGCACCCACATACAGGAATGATTTACTTATTTCACGGCACAACAGCTAAGTGCTACGCTGCTAACCGAAAGGTTGGTGGTTCGAACCCACCTAGTGACTTAGTAGAAGAAAAGATCTCAGGATGTGCTCCTATAAAGATTACGGCCTAGAAGCCCTATGGGGCAGTTCTACTCTGTCACATGGGGTTGCTACGAGTTGAAATCAACTCAGTGTCTCTGTCTACAAGGCAGAGCTAAGATGAGCCTGAAGTCACTAAGCTACAAACTCTTCAAGGCCAGACATTGATGTGTCTTTGAATCTTTGTATCTCTAGCCCCACTGCACAGACCCTGGCACAGAATAGGTACCCAGTGAGTGTTTGTTGAATGAATGAATGAAATAATTGAGCCAGGGGATTCATTGTAAGCAGCCCTTCAGCATCTTGGATGTCCAAGGTCACTATGGTCAAGGACATGGAAATATCCTATTTCTAACTTTAAGGATTCTCCATCATGAAATACCTCAGCTGGGCCTGGCATGCAGTAGGCACACAATAAGTGTGGGATGAACTCCTAGCAGGCCTGCTTGGCACAGGTGGCACATGTGCTTTGAATTCAGAACTAGGACTCCCCCAAGTTCAAGTGCTGCCCAGGGTGTGTCACAGAACCTACGTGAGGCTCCTCCCTCAGGAACAGAATGGAACAAATTATGCTCAGTTCCACGGTTTGCCTTGAGCATTAGATGTGGCGCCATGTGAAACATTGAGAGTCTCCAAGCACTGTCCCCAGCAGAGAGGCTTGATGAGTGTGATCGGGGTAGGAAACTGGGTATCATTTTGGTGCCATGGAGCAGTGTAGTAGGCCCGCTGAGCCAGAGGGATGGGCTATGTGGCTGGGGTACCATGGGCTGCCAGCTACACCACTTCCCGGCTCCCGGTGGTTTCTTCCTATCAGCCTGCATATTTCATGTGCTGCCTCTCCACACCAAATAAATAAATAAAGGCCTCTCGGAGTGTGGGGAGCTGAATGCGGCATCTGCAGAGCTGCCGTCTTCAAAGGGCCAGTGTGGGGATGTGGGAGCCCCCAGCCACTGCTGCTACCTCCAGAGTTTGCTGATGTGACATTTAGGGTTCCAATCAGCTGGCAGGCAACAGCTGTGGGTGCGCAGCATGATGCCCCCTAAATGGCAAGCCCCGGTGTGAGTTTCATAGCCCCTGTTTCCACCCCACAATTAAAGGAATGCAGGCAGAAGTGTGGGCTCCAGGCTTCCTGCTCTCGGTTTCCTGAGTGTTGATGAGGGGTCAGCAGGGCACCACTTGTAAGCACCTGAAATCCCTGTGCTGTGTCACTTCACTATCTATGGACACTCTGCTGGCCAGATCTGCAGTTCTTGGGATCCACTTGCATGGAACCCCAGTGTCTAGGGACAGATGGCCACACCTCTCTGCAGTCACTACATTCAGGAGGCACAGATGGGCCATGGAGTGAACAGCTCAGCATGGAACTGTTGCTTCTGTAGGTCCCATCACTGGCCAGATCATGGCTTGAGTATACTGGTCAGTCGTTGGGTCTGCATTCTATCAGATCAGACAGACCATGACATTGTGGGGGAAGTAGAAAGGATGTTCTGTAAGACTCAGGATCATAGTTTCTGAGGACACTAAGATCAGTTGGCATAACATAGTCCACAAAGACAATGTTCAACATTTGGTGAGTAGTGACTGGGTTCTTAAAAGCTTATAGGTGGCCATCTAAGGTGCAACTCTTGGTCTCTCCCCATCGGAAACAAAGAAGAGTGGAGAAAATCAAAGACACAAGAAAACAATTAGTCCAAGGGACTAATGGGCCACTTGAATCTCAGCCTGAGCTGAGAACTAGATGGTGCCCAGCTACCATTACTGACCTCTCTGAAAGGAACCACATTAGAAGGCCCTGGGTAGAGTGGGAGGAAAATGTGGAACAAAACTTAAAATTTAAAAAAGACCAAGCTTACTGATCTAACAGAGACTTGTGGACCCCCAGGACGATGGCCTTAGATACCTTTCCTGCCTGAAACTGAACTCTCCCCAATGGCTCAACATTCAGCCAGACAAATGTCCACTCATCAGAACAATCAACCATAGAAGATCAAAAGGGCAGCATTTGCCTAGAGATAAAGCCCAGAAGGCAGGAAGGGATAGGAAAGAAGGGCAAAGGAAAATGGGAAACATAGGAAGGAAGTGGAAAGAGTCCTGTTACTTCATGGAACTCACAATCAATGTCACAGACAATTGAGTGGAAACCAGTTTACTCTGTAAACTTTCACCCAAATCCCAATAATGTGGGAGGGAGGGTCAAAGAAAGGGATGAGAGGCTCACGTTGGAGGGTGATGATCTGTCTTTGTCTTCATGTCTCTAGGGCTATGCTGGGGCAGAAGGGAACAGAGGTGCCTGTGTGGCCCTACAGGAGAAAGCCCAAAAAACAAATAGGGAAGAGATACAGGGAGACAGAGTTCAGCTCAAAGACCTAGAAGTCATTGTAACAGGCAGAGGGCCGAGCTATGAGTTGGGGAAGTGTATGTTCCTCATGCCTCGAGGGGTGCGGCACAGGATGAATGACTAATTGATGAGACTTATGGCTGTGTGTGCTCCGGCCCAGATCAGAGTTAGAGGGTCTCTGATTCTAACTGGGGAGCACTAGGGGAATCAAAAGCCTGCAGGATTATAGCCAAGGTCTGTGAAGGGAATGTGACACTGGACTGGAGCACCCACAGGGAAATGCAGAACCCTATCTAACCACCTAGTGTTACGCTGTAGGATAAATAATGGACAGCTAACCACAAGGCCTGCAGTTCAAATCCACCAACTGCTCCTTGGAAACAGGATCGCTATGAGTCAGAATCGACTCGATGACCTTAACAACAACCGTCTAACAGCCACTGTCTCTTGCTCCCCACAGACCGCAGGGAAGTGAAGGTGGGAGAGTACAACGCAGTGGCCGACACTCTGGAGATCATCAATGACACCATCAGGTTCCAAGGTAAGGCGGTGGGCTTCTTGGAGGAGGGGACCAGGACATTGTCTGGGAATTGGGGACAAACTCAGATTCCTTGGCTTCATGGATAAGAAAAAACATCCTATTTCCTCAAGACAGATACTCACTTGGTGGGCACAGGGTCCCCATCACTCACAGGGGTTCCATCTCTGGCACAGTCACTGGATTTGAATGGAGTTTGGGATCACTGAGGAATCTCTGTTTAAACCATCAGGTGCCCAGTTAAATTTCAGTTTGTCTGAGTGTGTAGTCAGGCCTGTAACCCTCTCAGTCCTTCTACTAGAGAACTCCTCCTCAGCTTCTAAAACCAGGCCAACTGCCACCTCCTCTGGGTAGCCTTCCATGTCTGTGCCTCAGCTAATAGCTCCCTTTTTGTTTCCATAGCATGCCTTGTCCCATGGTTGCTATTATTTTGCACTGAAATTACTGGTGTTTTTTGAACCATGTGCTCCCTAACTGAATCCTATTTTGACTTTAAATTCCTATCGTCAGCCAGGATCTGGAATGTTCCAGATACTTGGTGATATTTGATGCAAAAATGAACATAATGATTGAACAAATGAATGAAAGAGTGGCTGGGTGCATAAACAAATGAATGAGTGAGCAAGGAAGTGGGTGAGGAGTGGATGGATGGAAGAATGGGTGGATAGTGGGTAGATGGATGGATGGGTTGGTGGGTGGATGGATGAGTAGGTAGATGGATGGATGGGTAGGTGGATGGGTGGGTGGGTGTGTGGATGGATGGGTGGGTGGATGGATGTGTGGGTAGATGGATGGATGGGTGTATGGATGGGTGGGTGGGTAGATGAATGGATGTGAGTGGGTGAGTATGTGGAGGGTGGTGGATGTGTGGGTGGGTGAGTGCGTGGGGTGGGTGGAATGGACAAGTATAGCCCCCTCAATGGATAGCAGTGGTGAAAGCTGCCCCACAATGGAACCCAGGTACTGTTATTTGAACCAATGAGCGCCAGGTGCCTTTCTGTATCTAGAATTCCTCCTTAAAAGCAGGTCCCCACAAGAGAAGATTCTTTTATGGGCCCTCTGTTAGATTTTGTCATGTCCCTGCATATTCATTGGATCTAGGAGATTAAGCTTTGTGAACATGGCAAAGCATAGATCCAGTCAGCCTCAGGGTGGTGGTCTCTGTTCCAGGAGGCCTCACACTCCATCTGAGGGAGCATGTCATCACACATTACCTCACAGAGCCACACAGAAACTCTGAAAGGTGATGTGCAAGTCCTCTTATTAGAATTCACACAGCGTCTAAGGGGAGAGTCTATTCTAGCCATAAGACTCGACTCCCAAGATAGGCCTGTCTGCTTCCAAATAGCCGAGACCTAGTATTCTGGAAAATATTCCAGGTTTACAAATTGAAGGAAAGACTCTAACCCAAAATCAACAAAAGACACATAACAAAACTGAAAGATAAACACAAATTGAAAAAAACAACACACAAAAACCAGTCAGACTTTTCGTCGGAGGGTCAAGGATTTGTTTCCCTGTTCAGATGCAAAACATGATTTTCACTGCTTTTTGACTAGAATGCTGAATCCATTCAATAAGTAAAGAAGAGCCTCTTCAATGGTTGGTGCTAGGATTGTATTTCCACACCCAGAAAAATGAGACAGGATCCATGCTTCACACCATGGTGGTGGTGGCTGTGTGCTGTGGAGTCGATTCCAACTCATAGTCGATTCCGACTCATAGTCGATTCCGACTCATAGCGACCCTGTACAGGGTTTCCGAGGCTGTAAATCTTTACGGGAGCAGAACGCCTCATCTTTCTCCTGTGGAACAGCTGGTAGTTTCGAACTGCTGACCTGGCGGTTCACAGCCCAATTCATAACCACTATGCTACCAGAGCTCCTTAGGGTTAAACTAATTCCAAATGGATTAAGGACCTAAATGTGCAAACTGAAACCATAAAACTCTTAGAACAAGCAGGGACAATACTGTCAGACCTAACTTTCAACAGTGGATCATCTAATCTAATAACAGAAGCACAAATAGCAAAAGGCAAAATAAATAAATGGGGCTTCATAAAAATGGAAACTTTTATTCATCAAGACTTTACCAAAACTGTGAGAGAGAAAAAACAAATAAGCTAACAACTGAAAGAATTCATCAGAAAACATATATCTGACAAGAATCTAATAATCAAAATATATATAAAACTTGGACGATTTAACAACAAAGAGACAACTCAATCATAAAATGGGCAAAGGACTTAAAAAGCTATTTCACCAAAGAGGGCATTCAAATGACTACCAAACACATGGAGAGGAATTGCTCAGCCTCACTAGCCATCAGTGATGCAAATCAAAACCACATTGAGAGACCATTACACCATTTCACTCCCACTAGAATAGCTAAGGTTTTTATAAACATAAGACATGTTGGCAAGGAAGAGGGGAAGTTGGAGCCTTTCTTCACTACTGGTGGGAATGCAAAATGGTACAGCCCTTGTGGAAACCAGTGTGACAATTGCTCAGAAAACTCAAAATAAAACTACCATGAGGTTGTCGGTGTTGTTGTTAGGTGCCACCAAGTCAGTTCCAACTCGTAGGACAATAGGAAGAAACAGTATCCGGCCCTGCACCATCTTCACAATTGTTGTTAATTTTGAGCCCATTGATGCAGCAACTGTGTCAATCCATCTTGCTGAGGTTCTTCCTCTTTTTACCTAACCCTCCACTTAAACAAGTATGATGTTCTTTTCCAGGATTGGTCCCTCTTGAGAAAATGTCCAATATATGTGGACATGTTGTCACCTTCCTCCCTTCTAAGGAGTAATCTGACTGTACTTCTTTCAAAACAGATTTGGTTGAAGTGTCAAGGATTTCATTTTACTTGGATCATCAATTGATGCCCATGAAAGTAGTAGTCACCAAAAGACCTTTTTAAAGTGTTAAAGAACAAAGATGTCACTTTGAGGACTAAGTTGAGCCTGATTCAAGCCATAGTATTTTCACTCACCTCATATGCATGTGAAAGCTGGTTAACGAATAAAGAAGACTGGAGAAGAATTGATGCATTTGAATTATGATGTTGGCAAAGAATAATGGAAGTACCACAGACAGCCGGAACTACCATGTGTCCCAGCAATTCCATACATATGTATATAAAGCTATATATTCCCAAAAGACTTGAAAGCAGAGACTCAAAAAAAGATGTATGCACATCAGTGTTCATTGAAGCACTATTTACAATAGTCAAAAGGTGGAACCAATCTAAATTCCCATCAACAAATGAATGAATAAACAAAGTGTGGTACGCACATACAATGAAATGCTACTCAGCCAATAGGAGTAATGAAGTCCTGATACATATTACGGTGTGGATGATGACACGGTGTGGATGATGACAGCTTGAAGACATGCTGACAAAAGGAACCAATCATAGAAGGACAAATATTTTATGACTTCATTTATGTAAAACGACAAGAAAAGGCAAATGTATAGAGAACAAAGTTTATTGGTAGTTACCAAGGGTGGTTATCAGGGGTAGAAAAATCCTGGAGGATGCTATAGGATATTTACTGGACTGCTAATCACAAGGTCAGCAGTTCAAACACACCAGTTGCTCCTTGGGAGAAATGGGGCTTACTGCTCCCATAAAATTTTACAGCCTCAGAAACCCTATTGAGGATCACTATGAGTCAGAATTGACTTGATGGCGGTGAGTTTGTTTTGGGGGGCTACCAGGGGTAGGAAAGAATGTGAAAAGCAGGGATAACAGTGGTGGAAAAATAGCACTAATTAAGGGTAGGTTTACACAGCCTATTATTGTAATTACTGTTGTAAAGTTGTACATCTGTAAAAAGTTGAATTGGCAAAAGTTGTATGATAGATAAAAATATTTACAACAGTGCCAAAAAAGAGCAGCTACTGAGCATGCTCATATACAGCCAAACGCCTCATGAGCTTTTGGTTCCTTAGTTTGGAGGTTTGGGTCATGGTTTCATGGGCCATCCCAGTTATTTGTCCTAATAATATCATTAGTGCTTCTGTTCTACCCCCTAGTTCATTGTATGGTGCTTGGGATCCTAAAAGCTTGCAAGTAGCCATACAAGACACGACAGCTGGTCTCTATTCACCTGGAGCAACAAAGAAGGAGAATCAGGAATAAGAGGGTGATTTGGAATGTGTTTCTCTGCTATTCATAGAGTTTTCAGTGACTAGCGATTCGGAAGTAGTTCGTCACTCTTTCTTCCTATGGCACCTGACAACAACCACAACATGGAATGTGTGGCTAATTGCCTCCATGAACAGCTGCCTCCTTTGCCATGAGGCCAGAAGAACTGGATGATGCTTGGCTACCATTTCTTTCTGAACATTTTGATCAAAGATTCTATAGACTAATACTTATCAAAAGGGGGAAAATGCAGAACAGAATTCACATTTTCATGGACTCTAGCCATGAAAGGTAGATGATGCCCTGCCATTATTGCCCTGAGATCATCTTCAAACCTTAAGCCAAAAATATCCCGTGAAGTCATTTAAAAACCAAACAGTAGTTTCGCTTCACTGTAAAAATGATCTCCCTTGAGTATAATGCTATTTTTTTTAATTTTTTATTATGAATTGAGTGAAGGTTTACAGACTAGATTATCAGTTTGACATTCTACAGATCATTCACTTCGTTTCATCTCAATGACTGCAGTCCCTTCCATATAAAATCACTGATCCCACTTCCTCCCAGTGTATCTTCTTTCCTTTCCTCCTCTCCCATCCCTTCTGAATTTTGTCCTCTGGTAAATGCTGCTCTTTTCATCTCAAATGACTGACTATTCTGTGGTGTACATACCTTATTAGTTACTATTGCTGTCCCCCATATTTACCGATTACTGACCGTTCTGTGGTGTACATACCTCACTAGTTAGTATTGCTGTCCCCCATATTTACCGATTACTTGGATGAAATTTGAACCACACAGGCAAGTTCAGTTCCAGATCTGAAGGATGGCAGAGTCTCAGGGCTCCACCA